TGTAGCTTTTTTTTTTTTTTTTTTTGGTCTTTTTGTTTTGGTTTTGGTTTGTTTTTTGTTTGTTTGTTTTGGTATGGTTTAGTTTTATTTTTACTTCTTAACTTACTGTGTGATCACTTGTTTCCCCAACTAGACGAGTAATATTTTAGTTAAAGAGTACTCTTGTTGTTCTTGGTCCCAGGTAACTGAAGATATGCATGCTTGAACCTGAAATACTTTGCAGTCAGAACTCTAAGTAGTATTTGTAAAACTCAGTCTGCCCAAAGATACTGGGCATGGAGACTGTTGGCTTTATTTGGGGGAGCAGTAGGCTGTATGTACCTCTTCTCAGAGATGGATTAGACCTTTAAGTTTCACTTCTTTTAAATACTTAAAAGGATTTGATATGTAAATATGAGTTTCAAAGAAAAAAAGGTGAGTAAGTAGGTGGTTATTTGCCTTATTTAAGGTATCTACTGTTTATATCTTTTACATGGTGAGCTCTCCTGTGGTTAAACTGAAATTTGATGCAAGTTTCTGGTAAACAGGTACAGGTTCTTGTGGTTTATGGACCGCTAGGTATTAGATATAAAGAGTTGAAAGACCCAGAGAGGTGGAGTACGTTGTTATTTGTTCTAAATTTTAAGAACCTTTTAATTCTTTGATCCATTGTGGTATATAAAACAAATTATTTATTAGCTAATTAATGTTTATGTAGCTGTTTTCCTCCTCAGCTGTAGATTTCATTTATAAAGAAGTTGAAAAAGTTGTCTCCCTTTGGCAGGCAAAAGATGTGATTGAAGAGCATGGTCCTTCAGAAAAGGCAATAAATGGCCCAACTAGTGCTTCTGGCGATGAAATTTCTAAGCTACAGCGTACTCCAGGAGAAGAAAAGATTAATACCTTAAAAGAAGAAAATACTCAAGAAGCAGCAGTCCTGAATGGTGTTTCATAAACTGAAGAAGTTCCTAGTTTACAGTTCTTTTACATTACATTTTACAATAGTGCTTGTACAAGCTTGCCAAAGATAGAATATGGATCGCCAGTCTTTACATCGCACTTTCAGTTCCTCCATTTGGAATTCAGGAAGGGGAGGGATCCTGAAGAAATCATATGTTAAACATACTTTGACACCTACTGTGTTATAAAATATATCATCAGATGTGCCTTGAGAATAGTATATGTAACATTAAAAAAAGTTGCTGGCTATAGGAAATGTTATTTTGTTTTCAAAATATGGCAGAAACGGGGGAGGTGGGTGGGGTGGGATCCCTAACGTAATATTCTTTATGAAAGCATTAGCTGCTTTTGTTACATTTTTAATAATATGCAACCACTTCTTCACCTGAGGAAAACTAGAATGAAATGCAGTCTAAGATATTTTGCACTGAATTGTAATTTCTTCATTAGTTTAGTCTGGAAACTGGTCTGTTTTAATGTGTTTTTAAAATGCTGTATGTAGAAAATCTGCAGACCACTGGAATACATTTGTTAAACTCTCATCTGCAGGGACACTGGGTGATATTGGCAGTGACTGTTCTACAATGAGGCTTTGTTTGGTTTATTTATTAAAGTGTACAGTATTTAAAAAAAAATCAAACATAGCTTTAGTTAAACACTAAGCTGAATTAGTCATGTCCATTCAGACATAACCTGAACTACTGAAAAGATCAATTTCCAGAAGGTTTATTCTGTATAAACTACATGTTAGTCTTCAATAGAGTATCTTTTCCTTTTCTTCCCCAACCCTCCTTCCCCCCTTTTTTTTTCTTTTCTTTTTTTTCCTTTTTTTTTTTTTTTTTTGATTTTGGTTGTTTGATGTGCAATATGTTTTTGTATGCAGGTAGTAAATAAACTTTGATCTACCATTTGCTGATTTTTAACTTTCTAGTTTTTATACCAACTGTTGAAAAGTAGTTGGAGCTACTTAAAAGGCCTAGAATAGTATTATGATTGCTTTTTAAGAAGCACTTATACTTGCTTATAAATAGTATTAAAATATTAGTTGGTCAGTTAATCATTTTGTAATGAATCCTCTGAAATTTTAGTACTTAAAAACTTAATCTGTTAGAACAGAATGGTTTAGGGTATTGATCATAGGTTCAATATTAGGACTAAGTCTGTAACAAAATTCTCATCATAGGCAACTTTTGGAAGGCGATGTGGTAAAATCCAGCATTTCACTTTTTGCCTTTCTCTATTAAAATTATTTTTATAAAGAAGTATAATGAACAATTTTAAAATAAGGCACTAGTTTTTGATTCTCAACAATAATTGTCAAGGGTCTCATACTGATGATTGTATTTTTTGTAAATATTTTAGTCAGGTGGCTTAATTTTTGAAGATAAAGACTTTCACATGAGAGTGTGTTGCAAGGTGATACCAAATAATTGGATTTATGGGAAGGTTCCACAGTGTTTAGATAAAGAATACTGAGCAGGAAGACAGACAGCCCTTGGTTTTGTCCATTTGGTATTTGAAGTGCTTTTTTATGTGCATAATTTGTGTTAATTTGTTATGTACATAAAAAAGCTAAGTGATTCTAATTTATGAGTGAAGTATATAGTTAAAAATATTTGCCAGGTCAGTGTATGTATAGCCCTAGCCCTCAAATTTATTATTGTTGAGGTTAAGATGTGATGATATTAAATGCTTTTTCCTAAAACCCCCAATAACAGAATTTTTAGGTAAGGTGTGCAATCATTGTACACTATCAAGTAATTTCATATCCTGATTAAAAATTTGCCCACAAATGTCTTCCTATCCGTCAAAGTTAGAGACAAGTAAAATTGTTAGCCTTTTTATTCTTAGTTCTCTTCAATTGTAGCGTTATAAATTAACTATAAGCTATGAGAAGAATTTTCACTGATCCCCAAATTGATAAATACAGCATAAAGAAAATGATTTTTCATTTTCTTACATGTGGAACAGATTGACTAAAATCCTTCTGTAAAAACTGGGAAAGGAAGAAGCACAAAACCATTAAAAAAAAATAGGTTAGCCCACAGAGTTCTTTAGAACTATTAAATAGGCGATAAGTATTAAGATTTCATTATTTACAAAAGACTAATAAACCCAATGTCCTTAAAAACATGTATATTTAAGTACTGTAGAATCATGAGGCTTTTTTTTTTTTAATAGCACATGCTCAGATTCAGAAGTGAAAAGCCACTCCCCAGAGGTATCCATTCATTGTTAATAGGTAGCCTTCCAAACTTACTTTGAGAGGGGTGCATCTTTTTTGGCTACTAGTTACATGAGATGATGCTATGGTAGAACTTGCCAGCAGAAAAACCCCTAAAGGTCTTATATGGCTTAAGTAGTTTCAGCATATATATGTGAAGTCATGTATCTGAACTAAATAAGGAAGTAAGAGTTGAGATTAAATGGGGATTAAAAACGATCTTTCCCTGAAACCCTGGGAAGCCTAGGATTCTTGGATTTTGGCATCACTTTTTAAGCCTTCCATGTGCCTAAAACTGTTTTGCAAAATGGTCTGGGTATCTGTTGACAGGTCAGTCACCACTGGTAAAATTAGACTAGGGATACACAAAAATTTTAAGTAGTTAACTATTTTAATGTTGAGTTAAAAAGTATATTGAACCAGTGAGTTGTAATGAAAACTTACCTGAGACATTGCTTAGGAGAAGGCTGAGGGAGGTTGGTTAAGTAAATAATTTCTTAAAAAAGTACAGGTATATATAGGTTAGCAGAACAACCCAAAGAACAAGGAAACACTCGGTGTTTTACTTTTTGTTCTGGATTTCCATTCACGTCAGCCATTCTTCTGTGGCTGGGATACGTCATCTTTTTGTAGCTATTGTTTGCTATGAGTCTAGTGTTTTAACTTGAGAAGGGTCTCTTCAAATTGATGTTAACTGAATATTGCAGTTAGATTGGGAAATAGTTACTATTCGTGTCCTGCAAACTGACATTTTTTGAGGTAGAAACGAACTAGTTAGTTTTCTCAGACTTTGCCTACAATGAGGTTAGTCTACTAAAGACAGATGAATGGAAAACTGCTTATAATGCTGCTAAGTCCTATGTCAAGATTTGTTGGAAATGAGTAAAGGAAAATTACTTTTATACTGGGATTTTCCAGAAGGCTTCAAGGAACTTGGATTTGAACTGATCTACAGGTTTAGCAAAATTCTGAAGGACAAATAGGATGTTCATTGTAAAGTCTCATTCAGTCTTCCTATCTTTTGCTATTAAACAGTTCGGATCCCCTAAACCCTTCTATTCAAATATCATATACTGAATTTGCTGATTCCTTACTTTAAAATTTTAGTTATTAGGATGTGTGCTTGAATGGATGATAGTGACTTATAACCCATGATTAACCTATGATAGCATTTGATTTTTATTTCAGGGAACTGTTGCAATAAAGTAATAATTGTAGCCTGCTATAGTTACACTTAGGGCAAGTGGCGGTAATTTGAAACTGCACTCAATTGCCAGTTGAAAATGTCAGTTATGTTGAACCATAGGAAATTGCAAGGAGCTGACCAGTTTTGACCCACAAAAGTGACAGTTACTTATGGTTCAATCTAATAATACATTTTTAAGTATAATTACTTTAGAAATCCAGGTAAGGATCTGATAATCCAGAAAACCCCTAATTACTGGATGAAGGAGGTACACAGTCTGTAAGGAAATATATTAATTTTGTTTTTTAAAATGGTTTATCAGTGGATCACTTTAGATTCAGATTCATCTGTATCTTTTCTATTACTATTTCAAATACTGAAATAAGGTGCATAAAAGTGACCCTAGATAAACTAAAGCAGCTTTATAGCAGGATTTCATCAGTGCATTTGCTTTCCTGTTTCTTCCTTTGATAATATGAAAAGATGTTTTAGGTATAAGTACAGAATTGGGTGTTACTATCGTTCTAACTTTTTCTACATTCATTTAATCCAGCTAGAGAGGGATGGACTAGGTGATCCCTTAAGGTCCATTCCAATATTAATATAACTTGATGTAATCATATGTTGGATCCTAGGTGACACTTAACCATAGTCCAGAGTGCTCTCTACAAGAGTACACTGAAATGAAATGGTGTATATTTTATTTATGTATCCATCCCAGACATTTCCAACTACACTGTATGCAATCTGAAGATACCAAAAGCAAGAGCAAAATTTCTCACTAACATACTCAGTCTGAAAGCCCCACTATTAAACTAGTTAGCAGTTTCTCAAATTTGTGTTTCAGTGACTGGTATTTTGTGGGGGGCGGGTGGAGGGTGAAATTACAGGGATATTTTCTGAATGTTTTGTACCCTTTTTACTTGATGGATTGCCAAATATAGCTACTCATTTTCTAGTTTAGAGACTATGTTCACTACAAACATTTCCCCAGTTTCTCTCGATGAACTAATTTATACTTGTTGCTTGGAGCTCATACCTCAACCTCTTGGAGCTTCATTTTTCAGTGTGCCATTTTCAGGTTCTAAAGAAAAGTGTCATATAAATAATTACACTTGAAATTAATTGAACATTAATTGAAACAGAACTAAGGTCACAACAAGTATTAACATATTCCAAATTATACCTTAACACTGGACTATGACTTTGTCATTGGCTCAGGAATAACAGGTTAATTAACAGTGGATAGAAGCTCTTCTTAAATCCTGTTGCTAAGGCAACATTTGGCTCCAAGTAGATACACAGCACTAAACAACAGTGCCAACAAAAAGTAAAGCTTGGGTTTTAACTTTCCTGGTACTCAAAGTTACTCTCAGTCCAGGATTCTTTATGTAACCAAAAACCTACTATAGCATTCTAAATAAGTTTTTTTTTTAAACTTTACCTTAGATTTATAATTTTTTATAATACATTCAGTTCAAGTTTTTGAGACAGTTTCTAAATTTTCATTGAAATTAACATGTTTGGGGGATCATTATGCTCAGTAAAATGTGACCCCCACTGTATACTTCTGAAGTGCAAAATAACTTACAGGCTGTGATCAACACAAAGATGTCTTGTAAGTTCTCTGAGGTAGTAGAACTCAGTATTTTAGCTTAAAGTGTTTAAACTTAAAACTTGTTTAATGTAAACGAAGTGTTGTGCCTGAATTACTTAAAATACAACTTCTGATGCAAGGTTTTCTTTAAGGTAGGGCATGAATTTTCAGTTTGCTGAACACTATAACTTTTTAGTATGGCATAGTCCAATATAGGTTTTACTCTTGTGTTAAGATGCTAGTTACCCAGTTATCCAGTACTCAGTGGTTTTACCTCTAGCTGCCTTGTATCCCTGCTTCTGTTGTAACTTAGAGCACAGCAAATTAATGATAGATAAAACTACAACCAAGCTTCTAGAATCAGCCTATATAAGGGCTTGTGCTCCATCTGTTTTCATGTAAGTTCTCAATTATTTCTTGAGTGGTTTGGGTCTCCTGGAATACAGACATGCATGACTTGTTTAAATGCTTCCATAAGTATTTCTATCATCTGGAAGAGAATTTGCTTAAAACTCTAAGGATGGCAAAAGATCTAACTTCAAGACCACTCATTATCACTCACTTTCATCACCAGCAAAGCAAGTTTATAAAGTAGCAAAGGGCTCAGCTAATGTCAACCAGAGGCCCAGTGAAGCCAAGAGGGAAGAGGCTAAGTAGGAAAACTAAACCTCTGGTATGCCGGTTCTAATACTAAGGCCGTGGATAGGCATTCCCTCTACACATATTTGTTGAGGACTAATAGATACATATAGATAACCAAGTTATAAGTGAACATAGTAAACTAGAGAAGATATTCAGGGCTTATAGTTTCACTAGCTGTGTAACTTCAGAAAGCATTTTGTTTTCCTATTCATAAAGTGTGGAAGAATCCTCACAATTCAGGTTGGCCGTTACTTCCCCTGCCCTTAACAAATGAGGAAACAGAACCGTAAGTGTAGCCCTAAGCGTGTAGATGCCTTGCTCAGAGTTGCCTGGGTGTTATTACAGAAGTCTGACTTGAAACCTGTACCCTCCTATTCCCTAGTGGTGTATTCAACCATATCTTCCTCCCCCTTTTGAAAAGTCTGTATCTGTAAGCACCAACTGATCAATAAAAAGGCCCCAAGGTAGAAATTTTATGACAAGTACTGGACTCACATCTCAGTGCCACCTAGGAAAACATACTGGGGTTGTCAGATTTAAGAAAGGTGTAGAGGTTATCAGCACAGAACTTTGGGTTTGAGAAAGATCAGCCTCCTCACTCACCATATTTCTTTGGGCAAGTTTCTTCACTGAAGTAGTTTCATTACCTGTAGAATGTACTTAGTAAATAATATTTACTACCGACATACAGAGGAAATGCTTACCACAGTGCTAGCACGTTCTAAGTAGTCAATAAATGTTAATACCACAAATATATTGCAATAAAATACCATTGAAAGATGAAGGTTCTTTTATAGATCATACTTCTATCAGTTACCATGATTAGAGCCCTCAAACACCATTTTCTTAGGGAAGAAAAGTCATGTAGGTTTGCCTACTAGCCTTTGATGAAATACGGATTATTCTGTTTGGAAAAGGCAAACCTAGAGGAAATAAAACTGATTACCATGAAAGAAAAATATGCTCTGCTGTGCTCCTCAGTATTATTCTAAAGTGGTTCCCACTGTCTTAATATTTGTCTTAAAACAGGTATGCTATTTTTGCATTAAACACTCAAAAAGTATTTAGAACTGCTACATGAAATCTTTGTAAAGTTAATGCTGTGGGGGTGGGTATAAGCTTAGTGGTAGAGCAGCACATCCTTAGCATGCACGAGTCCCTGGGTTCAATGCCCAATACCTACATAAAAAAAATTCTTTAAAAATTAATACTTGATTGCCTGTGGATATATTATCTCATGTTCTACTTGGTCTGAAAAATCTACTTTTTAGTTGGTAATCTCTTTTTCTTAATTAAAGCTCTTGTTCATAGAAACATTTTTTTGATTAGTCCAAAGAACTGAAGTAAAAGATACGGTTGATCCTCATTAGCAGCTTCCTTACAAATTCACCCATCACTAAAATTATACCCCCGAAATCAACAATCGAGGTGTTTTCCTGGTTGGCCGTGGACATGCAAAGTGGTGAAAAATCTGGCTCACCTGACAGCCATAAACTGATGCTCTGCCTTGTTTCACTTTTCCTACTGTAAATTAAGTATCCTTTTTGTGGTCTATTTAGTGCCAAGTTTTTCACATTTTTGTTCTTTTTTATTTTTTATTCCCCCCCCTTTTAAGTTGGCTTTCATGCTTAATGAAGTGGTGCTGTCTAGTGTTCCTAAATGCGAGAAGGCTGTGATGTGCCAGCATGAAGGTACAGTGTTGTTGGCTGTGAGTTCAGTATAAATGAATCATAAACAGAAACACATAAAACAAGATTAAATACTGACTGGCTGACAAAAACGTTGTGACCAGAGGCTCAGAGGAAACCCATACTTCCCCTACGAAAACTGGTTCAGTATTCACTAATTTAGTGTTCTCAATGAACATAAGTACTTTGAATAACAAGACTCAGCTGTACCTTAATACCCCCTTGACCCTAGAAATAGCCAGATGCTTCATCATACTCTAAATCATAGACTTGATCAGATTTTAAACAAGGAAATGGGATGGAATATAAGCCAGAAGGGCAAACATACCCCAACTTTAAAATGTCCCTAAACACATTCCATCACTAAATATGACCAACTCCATCGTTTTAACTTTGAAAGTCTTTGTGTTCTCCATTTACAATTAACAACTTTAGGATAATTTAAGAAAGTTAAGATGGTAGTATAATTTATCACCTTAGAACTGAACATAATGAGTATTCCTTTTAGTGCCACAGGCTAGCTATCTTAACCTCAGATGTTTTATGAAGGTCCTCTGGTTACAATCCTTATACATTTTACATTAGAGCAATAGCCATTTACACTGAAATGTCATTTAAATATACCAGTGTATACATTCTCAAGGAGTCCCAGTTATACTTTGATAACAACAGCATTTCAGTTTTCAGTTTCACTAACTGTTTAAGCTTGGTCATAACAAATGCAAAACTTTTGATTATGTTGAAAAATAACCAATTAAAGTAATACTTTACAAATGGTCAGCCTATTTAAGGAGCTAGCTAAACAAAATGTAAATACTTTCTTGATTGAAAACAAGACCTGTACTCTCAAATCTTTATCATATTATTACAGTTTTAAATATTTATCTGAACTGTGCCAGTGATAAATACACACTAGATTAAAAATTTCTTAAACTTGTGGCTAAATTCACTTTTCACTTCAAGGTTTCAGATGGCTGGGGGAGTCCTCTGTACCTTGAACAGCCTTCCCTTCCAATGAGATGAGTCCCTACTGAACCACCTGTGCTAATTCCATCATAACATCACACTGTACTTCATCAGTATCAGTCTCCCAGCGGACTGGGATCCCTTGAGAGCAGAGACTGTCTTGTTCACTTTGCCTTGAAGTGCGTACCAAATGAGTTATGTGCCAATGAGTAACGAACAATAGTTCTATTCAAATAGTACGTATGTATAATTATTGTGTATCAACCTATAAGTATCCTGTAATCTGATATAAAATCCTCAAAGTTTAAAAAAGAAATTTATACCAAGGCTTTGATTTAGCCTGTGCTAAATCATTTTTAAAATTTGTAGCTTTGAGGCATTTTATTATAAAAAGGTGGTATTCATATACATAAATGAATAAGAACTTAAAATTCATCATACATTTACTTCATTTTTTAGCTTGACCTTCTAGTAAATCTTTAGCTTCATTGATTTTGGCTGCTATATAAGGAGATCCTCCTATAGGAAGAAAGAAAGAAAGAAGGAATAGTTATAATATGGATTCTCAATTTCTGCTTGGTGAAAAGCTATTCTCTTGTTTCAAAGATCCCTATGCTTATCTAAGAGGTGGAATTAGCAGAAATGGTGTTTTGGCTTTTTAAAATAACTTTTGACACTGGAACTGGACAAATACTTGGTTCATATATCTGACCAGTGGGAAATGAGGTAATTCACAGGACAGAGATTTCCACAAAAATGGCACCTTTTAAAAAAGCTTATATTGATAAAAATGATTAAAAAAATGATCATACTTACGTGACTTTTAAATAGTGTAAGTTACCCATTCATGATGACTAAAAGTCATAAATGAAAACCAATTTATTTTACTGTGTTATTTTTAAAACCATGAAATTCTCAGAGGCTTCTGAGCTTTGCTGCAAAGATCCACTTTGCTTTAGCCTTATCTCCTATTACTAAACTGCCCTTTTATGATGTCACCTACAGCTGCTTTCCTACTAAACTGCTTCAAGCAGTGCTTCTCAAGAAAGTGTGGTCCTCAGACCGGCAAGCATCCATAATCAGTAACAAGCTTACTAGAATTGCATACTTATAGGCTCTACCTTAGACATACTGAATCAGAAGCCTTCCAGTTAATACAAGCTATGTCGTAAAAGAGGTTATACAGTCAGATATCAAACAATTATAACCCTATTTAAACTCAAAACCTCCTTTCTTAAGGAAAGGCCTCTCCTATGAAAGTAAAAGGATTTGAACACTGGAACATGGGTTTTGTGGTTTATATATTGCTATTCCATTTGGTCTCCCAACACAGTCTGGGCTGCTTAGCAGGGAATCAGAAACCAATATATACATCCTATAGGTTTCTAACTAGGTAACCTCTAGTTAAAAAGTCAAATAGATAGGAAAAAATTACCCTTTAGTTTCACTGAAATTCAGCATTTTCTTTAAGAATGTAGACCCTCCCCAACAGTAGCAGTAGCAGTATTTGAGACACACTACTGGAAATCACATCACAGCTGCAGATTTCAAAACATGGTTAATGCTTATCACTACTTCCAAATTATAGCAGTTACTAGATCTGCTCAATCTATAAATACATTTTTCATGCAGAATTTATTCTTTTAAGACATCAACAAATGGATCCAGCCTGGGAGACAGTGTTCACATACAGATCTAGGCATTTCCCTTATAACAGCCAAAAATCAGATATAAAATTATCCCATTAATAATTAGTCATTCCAACAAAACGTGTAACAATAGTTTGATGACTACTTACCCTTGTCTGGGTGATTTAAAAGCATAATTCGTCGATGAGCATCCCTTATTTTTCCTTTATTGGCAGTAGGGCTAATTTAAAAAGAATAAGGTATTGTTTAGACTAGTTCTGGATCACATCAGAAAACTACTTTATAAAGTCAAGTAAAGATACTGTGAAAATGGAGTAAGTCAACACAACAGTATGAAAAGCTATTAAGGAATCTCTTCTTTTAACACACAGAAAGTTGAGTATTCTGAATCAAACAACTAAACAGAGCACCTTAGGAAAAATAAGGCATTCTCAAAAATTTAGTTGGATCTGAAACTATTCATTACAACAATCCTTTTATTGACAAAGGAAAGCATATTTAAGTGTTTGGAAACAAAGGCAGAATTTCACCACAGAAATGTGTTACACAGTTACAGAGAACAATATTGAGCACTGATTATCTTTTGAAAAATCTACCTTCAATGAGTTTAAAAAGTACTTATGTGTCAGTGTGCCTTCTCACTGGACTTTTGTAGGGAATGTTTAGATCTTAATGTACATAATAACTCCCTACTAATAAAAGAGAGGTCTTTTTTACAGTTGTTCATAGCTCCAAAGTTGATGAAAAATATTAAAAACAAATTATTTTACCTTACACCTAGTATTAATGCTGCTTCTCGTTTTGTCATTTTGGGTTCAAACCCACCTCTGTAATAGCCACCACTGAAGGCCTGAAAGAAAAAATGTTTGTAAGAAAAGATTATTAGAATAAACTGAAAGTTACTAAAAAATGTCTGTAAATGTTCATGGAACCAGCAGAAAAACTAAGATATAGTACAATTCCCATGGTATTTTAGCTTTATAAGTAAAAAATATTTTAATGATCATTAAACAGACCCATTGTTTTCCCCCGAATTAAATTGTTTTGAAGATATAAGACAAAAAGAACAGTGCCTCAAAGCCAGTTCTTCTGGGAGTAAAGGGAGGATTATTCCAAGTTAGCCATGTTCTAGATAAAATCTGATCTCAGAATACGACTATATGTTTTAGAAGAAGTGCCTAAAAAAGAGGATTTAGAGGTCTTTTGAGACAAGTGGTTCAAGGTTATTTTGAGGTTCAAGGCTAAAATAAAATAAGACCATAGGGTATGTATTGAAAAAAATCAGCTTATCAGGTCCAGAATCATATGTCAGAAATCATACTGGTAAAGCCTACCACCACCCTACTCTGTCACATTCAATCACAACAATAAAAACCAATACTCTACAGGCTGTCACAGTCAAATTTACTCTGAATTGTGACCACAGAAGGTATGATCATCACATCCAGTCATACTCTAGAGCCTAATTAACTGCAGTGTGACCCAAGTATCATGTTATGAGTGCCAGGGCCACATAGACCCCTAGATCCCTCTGTGTTTTTGATGCAGAGCAAGATGAGGGAGGGCACAAATGTGGACAGATTATGCTGAAGGTAACTGTATGTGAACAATAGAGTGATACTAATTTTCATGATACTAGAACTATTAAGACCTATGTCCCAAATCCATCTCACATAACATTTGATTTTAGGGTAGCACCATTACACAGCTCAGAACTTCTAAACCCTTTTTGTGGGAAGCAAGAGAAGGGGTCCAAAGCAATCAGTGAGAACTTCATGGATGTCTAGAAATTTACCCTCCTCAAGTGTGGCTCTAGGCTTCATACACAGACAGCAAAGAATTAGCAAAAATGTTTAGCAAATCTTACAGATTTTGGTAGACTTTGAAAAACTTGTTTTACTTGTGGCTCCATATGCTTCATGGCTTGCAAAGCATAACGGCCTAAAAATAAAAGCAATAATGATTAAAAAGTTCCCATCCTCTCCTAGTTCACTTCCACCCCCAAACCATAAACAAACCTGCAAATCCTGCAGCAGCAATGGTCAGTCCAACTGCTACCACTGTACTGGCCTGGTAAGGGGAAGGAGAGTAAGTATTTATTTCTCTTATTTTTACCCTACCCTATCATGCCCATTCTCCCATTCCAACTTATTACAAGTTTTATTTCAACGGGAGAAACAATTTTTAGGGTGAAAATATTCTGCCCAAGGATCTGCAATTTTTATATCTAATGAATTGTAAAAGTATGGGATTTTCACTAAGGAAGAAAAAGGCAAGTCGATTTGCTTATTTACTTTTACAAAGTGAAAGGATGATTTCCCTCTCTTTGACCTCTCTTTCACCTCCAGACAAATGGAGTCATTAAAATTCAATCAAGAGCAATGATAATAGTTTCTGCTAGAGCAGGAAGAATTGTTTACAGAGAATTCCTATAAAATTCTTACAACCTGTTTTCAACGTTAAACGTGGGCTTAACTAGACTAGCTTTTCACAGGGCCTTCGGCACTGTCCTGCCTCACGATTAAAGAACAGGAAGGAAAGCCAAATATGTTCAGGAATCGAGAAGAAGTGTGTCAGCAAGAGCCAAGGGGAAAGATGAGCAAAGCAGAGAAAAGACTGTGATGATGTTAGGGGAAGGGAAGCTATAATAGAATGCGTTTCCATCAATCTCCGATCCCCAGGGACGGCGGGCACAAAGGCCCAAGAAGGGTGAGCCAACAGCTTTGAGTCTTGGAGAGGGTGACTCTCTGGGGCGCTACAACCCCAGCCCAGAGTCGCATTAGGGAGACAGCTGCGGCTCCTCTACTCCGAGACCTTGAACCAAGATTGAGGCCTGGGCCTGAGATCGCCCAAGAGGCCGGAAGGCCGCACTCACCATGGCTCCCGCTCGGCTCCCCTGCCTCCACCGGGAGAGCGGTTCATCCCAGCCCAGAGGCCGCAGCCACCAGCTCTGCGCCTCTACCACAAAGCGACGCAGGCTCCGCTACAGGTACAAACCGCCCAGACACGGGCACCCCGGGACATACGGCAGTGACGGCCGTAAACCAGGCCGGAAAACTGTCGTAAAAGGAGACAGCCGACGGGAAGGAAAAGGTCGCTCAAGCAGGTGGAGAACACGACTTCGGATTGGTGGATGGGTGGGCGGATCACCTCTTTACTGGGCTCAAAGGTGGGGCTTCTCGGTGTTTTGCTCTTTGCTCCTTGGCCGAGGGTATTCGGAAATTCCTGCGGGGAAGGGTACTGGTGTAGAAGGGCATGAGCAAATACTGTGTAGCTTCACTCGGAACGTTTTTCTTTTTCTACCTCAGCACTTCCATTTGCCATTTATTTCGTTTATAATTGTCAAGGTTAATGAGTATTCTTAAAAATGCCTAACAGTCCCATCATGAAGCCAGGTAAATATGTACCAGCCCAGTATACCAAAAAGAAGATGTTCCAGAAAACCGAACGAACAAGCCACATTGTGTTTCAGAGGGTGTTCGGTAGCATTCTTTTATTTAAAATAATGTTATTTAACTATGTGACTTGACAGAAACTTGTGTGAATGTTTGGGGTTTTGTTTTGTAGAATGGAATTACCACTTGAAAGACAGTTAATATTCTGAACGTGAGACCTCAAAATCCCCACAACTGAAAAATACTATTTAAAATTTCTCCTCCTCTCCTCAAAGGAAAGAGTAGGGTTTGATTTTGCCCTTACAGAGCATCAGTTTCATATATTCTTACATAAATGCTTAAGAAGAGAAAAATAATGGAGACAGTAATGACAACTTTACAGTGCAATGTTTGGATGATTAAAATAAATCTGGAGTTACTTTTCACTTAGAACTTATAAAGTATTAGGAATCTGTTTATCCTGCAATGAAATTCTGCTTTGACCAGCTGGTTGGTTATTAGACAGATACGGAAATAGGTTGACTCTGTTTTCCTTATCTATAAAAAGATTCTGCATTTGACTCTCCAAGAGCTCTGATAGTCCTGATATTTTCGTAATGCAAGTTATTGTCAACAAATGATCCAGCACTAAGACCCTAGTGTTAAGTGTACATCTTCCTCTTTTGCCTTTCTTCTATCTAGATTTACCTACAACTACAAAAGAAATAATCAAGTAAGGCATAAGATCTTGGGACCAAATTGGCCAGAAAAAAACCTGCTACTATAAAGCTTTCTATCGTGTTTAGTTTTGGTATGTACAAACTATGGCATGCAGCTTACTTGAGGAACACAAACTCAGCCTCAGGAAACCAGAGATGGACAACACAGGGAGGCACTTGAAGTTGAAGCGAAGATTGCTTTGTTTTTGGAGGCAAATCAAACTAGATGTACAGCCTGGCTCTGTCACTTACTAGTTGTGTGACTTTGGACAAGTTATTTCTGACTGAGTTTTCTCATTTGTGAAACTAGGGTAATGATTACTTTGGCAATTTTTTGTAAGGATAGAAATGTACATAGTGTGCTCTACACATAATTATCACTCAGTGTGTATCTGTAATTATTAAAAAGGAAGTCAGAGTGCAAATTGGCATGCAAAAGCCTTTCCAATTATCATGACACTTTGCCCATTTATGTGAGCCTGGTAATCCCTTCCCAGCCCACAAAGGGCATGCAAAGAACCCTTAAAAGCAATTTTTTAAAAATGCCCGTTGACTGATGAGTGAATAAGTAATCACTCCTTGTTTCTTCTAGCTTATGGTGACTGCCAGCATACCTTGACTTGTGACTGCACAACTTCAATCTTGAAGGAAGGTCGGTATCTTGAAATCTCTGTCTTCATGTTGCCTTTCTCTTTTGTATGTAAACTCTCCACTGCCTCCCTCTTAAAGGATACATATAGTTGCATTTAGGGTCCACCCCTGTAATTCAGTATAATCTCCCCATGTCAAGATCCTTAACTTAATCATAGATACAAATACTGTCCTATAAGCTAACATTCACAGGTTCCGTGTTTTAAGACTTGGTTTCTTTGGAGGCCATTATTTAGTCTACTATAGAGGATAAGAGAAAACAAAAGAGGGGACTAGCAGGGATAAGAGAACAAGAGAATGAGAAAAGACTCAAGCTCATTTGCTCAATTTTTCCTCCCAAATTTGTCAATCAGGTAAGTCACTTCTTGGGGAGAAATAAGTGAGAGGTGAGAGGGAGCAGCGAGAAGTATGCTTGCATCGAGGCTTTCAAACACTTTTTGACTATGACTCTTAGTAAAAAATATATTTTACCTTGTGACCCTAAGGAATAAGTATATACTTGAACGCACACACACCCACACACACACATGCACACACAAGTGCACATTGAATTTAATGTGAACTTAAATTGAATTGAATGGAAATTAGTTTTTGAGACAATATTTATAGTTACTTCATGAGATACATGCTGGTCTTTTCTATTTCTTAAAGAAAAAAAAAAGCCAGGAAACCCAGTAAGTTCACAACTGACTAAGTGTTCATAATCTGAAGTTTGGAAAGCATCACTCCATAAAAATCCACTCTTGGGAATATGATGCCAGGCAAATAAGAGTTGTTATTATTATTTTTTGTAAAAACTACATGCCAGGCATAGTGCTAAGTGCTTTATGTTGATTATTCACTTTATTCCATGATAGCAATATTTTTTTATATTTTGCAGATGAGGATATTTTGATAAATATGTTTGTTTTCCCCTCCAGATCCTTTCTCTGCTGTTTTCCATTCTACTCTGTGTTCCAGAGGAGCAGAGGCGGCTAGGAGGCTGACCTCAGTGGACTCCATCAATGGGATCCCTTGTCTTCTGGCTTTGGGTTCAGTTATTTCTGGGATCAGAAGATCAGCAAGCAGGAGGAGAGGGAGTTCAGTCTTCATTTCTCCCATCTTCCTTTCTGGTGGTTGCTCCAGGCTGACTGAGTTTGTCCACTGAGGAATACAGCTCCTGTTGCATGTGTGTGTTCAGGTAATTACTCCTATTCCTTGTTCTTTCGTGTCTAAGGGTGGTAATGACTCCATTGGTCCCTAGAAGCTGCACTAGACACTGCACACTTGACCATCATTCTAATTTCCCATAATCCCATCCAAACCTTTGTAAAGAGTCCTTAATTAAAATTTCCTCACTTATTCCATTGGGGTATGCCATCTGTTTCCAGCATGGATAGTGATATAGGAGGTTATTGCAACATGTAGGAGATGATGGTAGCAGTTGAAACGGAAAGAAGTGGCTGGACTCCTGCTTATATTTTGAAGGAAGAGAATTTGAAGGAAATTGATAGAATTGCTGATGGATGAGATGTAGTATACGAGAGAAAGGATTCAGGAATTACTCCCAAGCAGTAGGCTTGAGAAGTTGGAAGGCTGGAGTTGCCACTTAATGGGACTGGAAAGACTTCAGGAAGAGCAAGCTGGGAGTGGGAGCTATTGCTGTGTTAAGTTTGAAATATCAACTAGATATTTAAGGATTTTCAAGTAGACATTTGAATATGTGTCAGGTGTTGAGAGAGAGGTCTGAGAGTCATTGGCCCATAGATGGTCTTCAAGGCCTTGGGACAGATGAAATCATTCGCTGTACGAGTGGAGAGGGAAAGAAGTGGAATGAGGGCTGTGTTTTGGGATCATTCATATTTGGAATCTGGGAATATGAGGAAAAGCCAGCAAATTAAAGTGAAAAGGGGTGACCAGGAACTGAGTGTGGTGTCCTAGAAGCCAAATGAGGAACGTATTCAATGGAGGAACTGTATACAATGCTGCTAAAAGAACAAGTGAGAATTGGCTACTGGAGATCATTGATGGTGTTTATGAGAAGAGTTTCTGCAACATGATGGGGACAAAAGTCTGATTGGAGTGAATTCAAAAGAGGACAGGAAGAGAAAGAGTGGAGATATGGATTATATAAGACATCTTTTCCAGGAAATTTTGCTGAAAAAGGAACTAGAGAACTAAGAGCGTGCCCAGAAGGAGACTTAGAATGAGAGTTTTTTTTGTTTTTGTTTTCTTAAAATGGAAGAAATTAAAGCATGTTTATTTGCTATAGGAATGATCTTATAGAGGGAAAAATGGACAAAATTCATTGAATGACATAATTTAAGAATGAGAAGAAAATGTAGAGACCATTTCCGACCCCCATCAGCTTTGTTTTATGAATGAGGAAACTGAGCCTCAGAATGGTTGACTGATTTTTCTCAAGTCCTGACAGAGTCCAGTAATTGCTCACCCTATTGTCCACTTTCTAGACGTATATAATGTTAGGGTCGTGAGATGGTCACAGAATTGGCTTTCTCTATATTTCCTTACCACTCTTTTTAGAAATTTGCTCACATCTGGGTTAATGGAGCTGAAGTTCCTGACTAGCAGCCATCTGGCCCACAGAACCTTTTGTAGGCAGCTGCTCACACAGTGCTCTCTGTAAAACTGAACAGAACTTAATAAACATTTCATTCCCTTCCCTTGCCCTTCACTCCACCCCTTTTTATCCTCTTCCTTTCCTCCTGATCTTTAGTGATCCTGCCATGACCTGACAATCTGCCAGTGGGAATTCATCCTATTGTCCCCTGTTAGGATATGAATATTCTTGGTAAATGATCATATTGAGCTATGATCAACAGAAGCGTTTTAAGAGATTCTCTTGGTGTTAATTAATAGGAAACGAAATGCTCTAATCGGGGAGCAGAATGGAAGGAAGAAAGAAGAAGTTTAGAGCAAGAGAGATGGAAAATAGGCCTGGGTAAGAATATGAGGACCTCAGGCAGTGGGGAAACGGGGAGGATGCTGGAAGGCCAGGAGGAAAGGCTGAGGTTCAGCCCCCTTCCTTCCAGTTTGCCTCATCTGCATCCAAGTCAGGTGACCCCCCCCCCTTGCCTTGTGGCTATTATAAAATAATTTATAACTATTTCTCCTGTGATTTTCTCTCCCCTTTCCTCAACTTGTTTTATTTTTTCCTCACTGCAGCTGTTTTAGTCTGACTTCCTACTTTCCTTTCTACTTATAAGAACTGTTGTCCTTATAAATAAAGTCCAGAGTATGTGAGTGGAAGGCCAGTCAGAGAATGCAATGCATTTGACCAGACTGACAGCACCCAGGAGGCTTGTATTTCTGTGTAAAGGCTCTGCTCTTTTCTCAGGCTGTGAGGAAGGAAAATTGAGGCACTCAGGATTTCAGGGCAAGCTTGGAGATTGGTGTAGTCTAGAGGTCCTTTCCCAAATGGAGATTTCCCAACCAACCCTCCATTTCATTCCATTTTTGGACTTCTTTTTTCCATTGCCTTTCTCAGTCCTTTCTCCCCTTCCCTCACCAGAGTTCCACTCGTGTGCTGCAGCTTTATGCATTGAATAAATTGGGTCTTCCCTGCTGAGCTGTCAGTAAATGGAGCTGACCAACAGAATAGTCTGTGTAAGTGCATCTTGTGCCTGGGCCAGACAGACAAGTACAATTATTTGATTGCTGGAGACTGCTACTAAATGACGGTGAAATAGTAGGTCTGAGACTTGTTGGTGAATATTATTAATAATATAGTGTCATGCATTAATAACATAGTGTCATGTGAAACAAAGCTACGCTAGAGGGTCTGTCTGAAATCCCATTTTAAATCACTTTTTCAGGGAGCTAGCTGGTGGAGGAGACGAGAAGTAATAAAGCAAGGTGTCTTTAAGCAACCATTTGGGAGTTTCAGTCCGACATAAGCTGAAGTTGAGAGAATACGCATTGCCTTCATGAGTTTTTGGTGGCTAGAGTAAAGCATGGAGTTCATCTCTGGCTAACTGTGATAAAAATTACATCACTAGAGTGCTCGCCTATGAAAAATCTTCTTTCTCATCATTAAAACCCTTGAAGAGAGCCCATTGCCAAAACTCCATGAGATTCTTTCTGGCAACTGTGAGGTCCTGCATTGTCAACTTCCTTAGCTCATCTATCACAGGTAACTCTTCCAGACCCCTCCACTTCTCCCTTCATAAACCTCATAGTCCTGCCAGATGGGATGTGTCACCATTATTCTCCGGATGTGTCTCCTACTGCCCCTGGGCTTGAGTAAAAGTAATTCCTTCCATTCCAAGTACCCTTCCCCCATCCCAGCTCTGTCCATCGGTTAAAGGCCCAGATCTAGTGTGTCTTCTGTGAAGCCGTCTTTGTTCATTCATCTGGAATAGGTGTCCACAAACTTTTTATGTGAAGTAACAGATAGGAAAAATTTAGACTTTGCCTCATGCAGTCTCTGTATTCTTATTTTATCAAACTGTAAAAACTATTCTTAGCCTGTGGTCCATTCAAAAACAGATCACAGGATGAATTCCGCTAATGAACCATAGTTAGCTAATCCATGGTCTAAAGTGATCTCTCCTTTCTCTGGACTCCTATACAAATTTGGTCCTATTATATGTGCCACTCAGCATATCTAGCCTTGTATAGAAATTGTTGGTATACAAGTGTTTTCTCTATTGGACTGAAGAGAGTAGAAATCATGTCTTGTATACTTTATTTACTCCCTCCATCTGTTATGGCATGTGAACACAGAAAGTGCTCAAAGGATATTTTTAAAATGAATGAGTGAGTTACTTATAATAGCTTCCAGCAGGAACATCATTTATTTCCCAACTCTTCTAAGCCTTTGATTTTCTGACAGGCAGGTCTTATACCTCTACCCTGACCCTAGACCCCTTAATAAGGCCATGAGCGCCATAAATGCAACTGGTAATTAGACATAGAATATTACTTTCATTTATTAAATATCATTCATTGAAAACTTATTATGTGCAAATCTCTGAGAAAACATCAATGAACAAGACAGACAGAAACCTCAGCTCCTTTTGTGCTTTGCAATCTAGGCTGGGAAGCATGATCTTAATGTGAGCTCTCCTCCTGATATGTCTCAACTTCACTGTCCTGTTTTTTCGGATAATTGACTTAATATATTTGCCACTTGGTTTACCACGGTGCAAGAAATAATAAAACTGTAATAATAAGAGCTGACATTTATGTATACCTTAGATAGTCATATATATCATTTTTAATATGTACAATCGCATAATGAATTTAAGGAAGGAAATAACTACACTTACTTATTTTGTTGTCAATCTGGATAAACTGTGGATCACAGTTGTCACTTAACCAGATCACAGGAGATAAACTAGACAACTAGAGGCAATGACTTGATCACAAGCTAAGTTAAACAACATCATTTAGAATCGGCATATTGTGCTTAATAATTGGTGATGGTTTAAAAAATAACTTACTTAGTAAGCAAAGGTGTGGAGATTGGATTTAAAGTCTGTTTGATTCCTAAGCCTCAATGTAATCAAAATATTATTGGATCATGTTGAGTTTTATTCTGAGCACAGGTTTGCATTGCAATGAATGGCAGTGAAGCAAAAAATAAAAATAAGAAAGAAAAACAACTACAAATTCAATTAGTTGAAAGAGATTAAGATATTTTATGGCAGTCTCTAAAGAGAATCTCAAAAAAGGGACTAAGTTTTCAGCATTCAGAAGAATTTCCTTAAGGTCCTCTTTCCTTACTGTATCTTTCTTACTGTCTTCCTCACACAAAGTCCATTGCCAGATAAAACTCTTGACTCTCCTAATTCTCCCCCAGTGCTGTTTGCTCAGCTCTTTCTCCTCCTGCTACCACTCCTCAATCAATTTGATTTCCTTTGTCCCGTTACTCTCTGCCCATTCAATGTTTTCCCATTCTTTTATATTTTCTCCCTTTCTGCAATGCATACTATGGTAGGTGGATTCTAAGATGGCCCCCAAGATTCCCAGCTACTGGCATACATCCCCTGTATGATTCTGTCCTCTTGGGAGTGGACTGGACCTGTGAATATGGTAGGAACATGGCCTCCTTGGGTGATTTCCTCAAAATAAAAAAGGTGTTGAGATAGTCACTGTGCTTACACTACTTTATGTTAGATACTATCCTAGCAGACTGGAGTGAGATTCTCCTGCTTGCTTTGAAGA